CTCGCCTATCGAGTCAATTAAGACCACTCTGTTGAATTTCATTTTGTTGTTTTCAGTCCAGTGCTCATACCAATCTAGATCATTTTGAATTTTGTTCACATCTTCCATAGTATTAGCTATTCCATTCAATTTTGTGTCATCTGCATTAGCATTCCCTGCACCCCCTCATCCAGGCCATTAATAAAAATGTTGAAGAGCTCTGGGCCCACGATTGAGCCCTGGGGTACTCCACTTGTTATCCCCTCCCAATTTAAGAATGAGCCATTAATCATCACCCTCTGAGTATGATGGGTTATACAAAGAGTAATCATGAACTAGGCATATACATTCATGTGAACTGACTATTCTGCATTTTCTTCAGATTATGTAAATATTTTTGCCATTTTCCTTAAAGCCAACTTAATCCTCTTCCATCCCTGCAGAAGTTCTGAGTCATAGAGGGTCTGAATCCCACCAAGTAATTATCCGTGCATGACAATGGGATTATAGATTTCCTCCACACCCACATGACCAGCCTCCTGCCCTGTACCTTGCCCCCTCCCCCCCAAAAAAAAGGTTCAGAGAGTGCCCTGAAACATGAATGAGGCCAAATACCACTTGGACACTGCCTCTGACAGAATGCCTGCTAGACATACCTGTAGAACAGAAAAGTCACAAGCAGCTCTTTGAGGCAGCCCAACCTAATGTCTTATGTGGTTTATATCTAATGTCTGTATGGTTTTGGCCATTGACTGGATGTATATAGGCTAGCCATCATCTGCTATAATCTGAGAGCCTATCTTCACCCAATCAGCCTGAATTCACCTGGTTGTATATGAACTCAGAACTCTAACTAAGCAATATCAGGTGTGGTTAGAGCCTGAATTAGAAACAATTGGAGAATAGCAGGGATTTGCAGGTAAAGACAGGAAAGAATCCTCCCTGAAACCATTACTGTAGTTATGAATAATAACAGACTAGAGAGGTCAATGGTCTGAGTCTCTGTATTTTTAAGTTTCATAGCAGACAAGGTGTCCAAAACTGCCCTATACCTGCATGTTACAGGACCCTTGATAATTTATTTATTATTTATTGTCTTATTTATAGACTGCTTTCTCCCAATATGGGGACTCAAACTGGCTCGCAGTACAGTGGTGCCTCACAAGACAATGTTAATTCATTCTGTGAAAATCGCTGTCTTGCGAAAACATCGTCTTGCAAAATGCGGTTCCCCATTGGAATGCATTGAAATCTATTTAATGTGCTCCAATGGGGGAAAAAAGTCTTGCGAACCATTAGTCTAAAAAAAAAAGTCTTGCAAAACACAGTTCCCCATTGGAATGCATTGAAATCTATTTAATGCGTTCCAATGGGGGGAAAACCCACCTTGCGAAACATTGGTCTAAAAAAAATAAGTCTTGCGAAACGTAGACCCAAACATTGTCTTGCAAAAATCGTCCAAAGGAAAAACCGTCTTGCGAAACATCGGTCAAAAAAAAAAAAGTCTTGTGAAGCGTAGACCCAAACATCGTCTTGCGAAAATCGTCCATAGGAAAAACCGTCTTGCGAAGCACCACTGAGATTGCAAAAACCCATCATCTTGCAGATTAATCGTCCCGCGAGGCAATCATCTTGTGAGGCACCACTGTATTAAAAAGAATAGAATTAAAATACAGTAAGATATACATTGAAAACTATTTACATATAAAACTGATTAAAATACATCAAATAATTAAAACAGAAGGATGAAAGGGAGGGGGCCAACCTGACCTCCCAAGAGAGAGCATTTCATAGCCTAGGAGCAGCCACATAAAAGGCTTACTCCTATGTCCCTGTCAATCTTGCCTGTGCTGGCAATGGGACCAAGAGGAGGGTTTCCTCTGATGATCTTAAGCCCTGAAAATGCTCATATGGGGTGATATGGCAATTCATGTAGCCTGGACTCAAGCCGTATAGACTTGATAGGTAATGACCAGCACTCTGAATTGAGCCTGGCAAGGGACTGGGACATAGTCCAGTTGTTGTAGCGGCAGTGTTATATGCTCCCTATATCTGGTTGCTGCATTTTGAACCAGCTGACATTTCCAAAATGTCTTCAAAGGTAGCTCCACATAGAGCACATTTCAATAAGCCAAGCAGGATGTAACTGAGGCATGTGTCACTGTAGCCAAAACAGACACCCCGAGGAATAGGAGCAGTTGGCACACTATTTTTAACTGTGCAAATGCGCTTCTGGCTACCATCTAAACCTGGGCATCAAGGCTCAGGGATGAATGAAGGAGGACAACCAGGCAGCAAACCTACATTTTCAGGGAGAATGCATTGCATTCCACACAGACTGTATCTCTAGTCCCTCATCTGCCTTCTGATTTGATCCTAACATCTAGAGCTGCAAAATACAAGCTTATTCCATCTTCCATCTGACAATTCTTCAGATTTTTGAAAATGGCTGAAGAATTAACTGAATTAACTCCTTCTACTGTTCTTTGCAGGGCTTCATTTCAACACTTTATGACTTTAGACACCCTCTTGGATATATTCTTGTTTGTCAAATTGTGGTGCTCAGCACTGGGCAGAGTTTTCCTGGTGAGCTCAGTCCAAATTGGAACAATAGTTTTATTCTAATGTTGTGAAATTCTTAGAAATGCCAAAGCCATCCATGGGAAAACATGTTGGGCATATCTATAAACTATTTATCTAAATCTGCTCTAATGAGAACTGTCAATGAATTTAAACTGAAT